CATTGGCGGCAGCCATTAAATATACTCCTGAAAAACACAACCCTCAGCGCTTGCCAGCAACAAGCGGCAACTGCGACATCGTCGCAAAGGCGGCCCCAGAACTCCAGATTGGACCAAAGATTGCGAATACCAGCGTCGACTGCAGCCTCGGACTCTCGGACACTCTCAAGTCAACAACTGCGCTCGTTTACGACCACGTGTATAAACCTCGGTGTTCATGACATCGTTGACGCTCCGAACAGGAGCATGCGTCTTGTGGGGGACACGGCCAGGGGCGGTGCCCATTCAAAAGACTTGATAAGTTACCTTACGGTCGAAGGCCTTAGAAGCTGAAGGCTTGCCGAGATTACAAGACATACCCGCACGCACCCGTCAAAAAACTGTCTATGGACCTCAGTTTAGCATCGGGGGAACGATCTGTAATTATTCACGCGTCTCTGGCTGGTCTCACTCATGTCATTCTCTTGAAGCTTTCATATGGCACCCGCCGTGAAGTCGACAAGTCGCCAGTCGAATCGCTTTGAAAAGATGGGCTTCGCCGCGATGTCGCAAAAGTAGAGGAGCACTCCTTCAGAGACTTCAGAGATTCTCGAAGGATTTTTTGGAAAGGGGGGTAAGGGGGGTGCGAGCGGGCTGGCTTCTCTCTGTTGCTGGCCGGGCACTTGCAGAGAAAATCGTCCACAGCACAGAGAATCCCAGCACTCCAGCCTTGGTCATTCTGTGCTACGGTCCACGGAAGACTAAACTGACTCCAACGCAAACCTCCCAAAGCCGATGAGGCAACACGGATGTCCGCACCTAAGCTGGCCTAACAGTTCAATATTAATAGAACTGGCTCCTGGAAAATCCCGCATCAAAAGCTCGCGCGTGGAGAACATCACGCCGTTATGCCAAACTGACGGGGGATCTCATCTCGACTGTGATTCGCAAAAACAGTGTGCGAGTATGGACGAGTTGATGGTTTGACGGACCCCCCAAGCATGCGTCAACAGCAGTTCTACTTCTTGCCAGAGGCCGTCCTCGTGATGATTTCTATGCTACTGCCACGGACAAGGATGACAAGCATTGCAAAGCTCTTTCCGAAGCAAATCGCCACTAGACCAGAAGAACAAGTGCAACCACAAAGATCCTTACAAACCTTCTCAGACATGTGCACAGGCAAAGACGTGATCAAAGGATCGTGGATGCTGGCCTCAAAACCTGGTGTACACTGCGAGTCGACAAGCTTACTGTGTCAGGAAGCTGCCAGCTGCCGCGGCACGACACTTCCCTGTCAAACTCTGAACACAAACACGTAGCAACGCTGATTTCCGCGAACAACGAACCCTGAGAAGCGAAGAGTAGATCTAAGGCCTGTGTCCACAACCCATCCCTTTCGACCACCGAACCCCGTGAGGTTTGTGGTGCAGCTGAAACACGCGAAATCCACAAGATGACATGAGGACAGTAATCTGGAATGATAGCATATTAGGGTGGGATCCTTTCTTGCCCAGCTGCCACGGCATTCGCAAGTATGGAACGAAGCGGGGCGTTTGCACCGTAGATCGCCCTTGGAAGCGATGCTGTCAGACGATCCACAATTGCCATAGTCTGACTTTGACATTCACAGTCTTCTGTTCGTCCTTGTTTACCTTCGACTGTGAGGCTTCACGGTCTGCAAATTGAAAGGCGTAGCAAGGGAAGGAGCTGGGTATCTACTTGTTGGTGCCTACACGACTTATAATTTGTCGGTAAGCAAAGTGATACAACTCCCTGATGATGTCGCAGGTACGAAATCTGCAAAACTGCGCCTCTGTGACAGCAGTCGAAGTGAAGTGGGTGTTCAGGCGACGCGAAGTCGCGGAGTTAAGCCAAGACGTGCCCAAACTGGATCAAGCAAAGCCCAAAGCAACAAAAATAACCATTACGAAGAACATGTGACTTGAGATCGCACTCGAGCTCAGACAGCACGCGCTTTCCAGTCAGGATGACGAAGCTTTAGTTGCCTGAGCAAATTCCGGCCAGGGTGCAACGTGAACTCCAAGCCTGGTGTCATGGCGACAAGCACGAGCAAGGCCTCGGCGAGATGATCGGAGTTTCTGGTACTGTGCCCCTGCAATCCACGAAGCTGACAATCCAACATCAATTCGCAGACCAGCGGCGAGGTAAGGGCCAGAGAGGTGTATCCTGCTGCCCTTCCTCGGTACAAGGACCATATTGTTTCCATGGATACCGCAGCATCCACGAGAATTGCGCGCGAGTCTCGAAGGCAGCACAGGCACTGCAGCCCCCAGCACATCTGCACTAACCTACACTCACCGGAGCCGTGATCAATAATTTTCGCAGCTAGAAAATGTGCAACACCTGTTGATTGAGCCGCACATTTCAAGGCCACGGCAGCATTGGCCCAACAACAAAAAATGCCCCCAACAGTTTCATGCTGATCAACAATCCTTCTTTATTTCAGCCATGCATCCCCACCAGCTCCTGGCGGAGGGGGCCTTTCACAAAGTCCCGGAAAGAGTCCTTGCCTTTGCCGATACAGAGCGAAACATCGTCCGCGGTTGCGGACGCTTGGCTACAGCTCGGCTACAGTGCAAGTGCTCTGCTGCTGCATGCATGCATGTCTGCATGTCTGCATGTAGGTAGGTAGGTAGGTAGGTAGGTAGGTAGGTAGGTAGGTAGGTAGGTAGGTAGGTAGGTAGGCAGGCAGGTATGCATATATGCATCTATAGGCATGCAGAATGAGTGCTGCATGTGTGTGTGTGTGTTTGTGTGCATTTGTGTATGTGTATATAAGTATATCTATCTATCTACCTTTAGAATTACGTTGAAATTTGTATCTATTTATGTAATCATAGGTACAATTCTACCGGTATATATGTATACATATACACACATATGTCTCTCTCTCTCTATATATATGTATGTATGTATATACATATGAAAGTATACGTATATATCCATACATACATATCTCCAGTGTATGTGTGTACAAACATTTGTATGTACGCATGTACAGATGTACATATGTCATGTATGTATGCATGTATGCATGCATGTATGGATGTATGTATGTATGTATGTATGTATGTATGTATGTACGTAATGTATGTACGTACCTTTTTGTTTCCGCGGTTGAGTCTTGTGCAGACGCTCGCCTGGCACTCAAATTCCTGAATTCACCTGCCAACGGCTGTGCTGGGGTTCCTATGAGGGCATCCGGCCAAAACAGACTTCAAGAAAACTGAGAACTCAGCGCCTGCACCCTAAGGCAACAAAAAGCCTACACCCCCGGAGCAGAAATCTACAACCTGGTAGTGTGCACTCAAGCAAGGGACTTTATCGAGGTACCTCATCCATCCAGCAATCCTTCCTTCAAAGGTATTTTAGATGCACATTTTGCGCATAACAGCTTGCCTGCGATGCAGGAGAACCGACGCGATTGCAGCGCTCGCAACTGAAAGTTGTCTGAGTCACATCGGGCATGGCAGCATACTTAGGGCAGCAGGGCTCCTCTACAGGTTGTCCCAAGACAGTAAGCCGTAGCTGCCGGGACCGGACACGATCCATGCAGTGACGGCGTGTACAACGTTAGGGCACACACGAAATACATCTAGCCGACGTCAACATCAAAAAAGGTATGCGCAAACCATGCCAGGCATTGTTCTTCTAAAACGGCGGTGTGAAATCCCCACCTCCATGATAAAATCGCTCTCGCTAACTTGCTCCGGGACTACCAGATCGGGAAGACGGAGTCGGAGTGCGGGGACACTGAGTCGTTGCCCGTGGTACTGTACTAGCAGCTCGTGCTCGTGAACTTGAACTCCGTGGTGCCCATGCTCGCCACCCAGATTGTGCCACGGTTCATGCCGATGCCGCCTGCACTGAAGGTGCAGAACCACAGCACAGCATGAAGGGCAAGGTGTACATGACCACCTGCTAGATGGTGCATCCACGAGAGATGCACGCCACGAAAGTCCCGACGAAAGCAACCAATCCACCAGTCCACCCAAGAAGGGTTCGCACCCTGTCGTTTGGCCGCCGATGGCCCAAGGTACCAGGGCTCATCCAAGGCGAGCGCAACCATCATCACGACGTTGCCGCATACGAACATGCTGTAACAGACCGCCATGATTCCGAACTCCAAGCTTGCCGCGACAGACAGTGTATCGCAGACCGTGATGATGGCAATCACCACCGTGGCCGTGTCACGGCGCTGTCGAGCCGGCTCTTGGCGAACTCCATTCCCCGCAGGGCCATACAAGGGAGTTCTGGGAACTTCGATTTCTGCGTTAGTGCAGTTTTCGACGAGCGCCTATGTATGTATATATTATGTACATAGAAATATATATATATATATATATATATATGTATAAACATACATATATGTATATATGTATACACACGCGAATGTTCTAGTTATTCAGGCCCCTACAGTAGTAACCATCCTTGTGCCAGTCTGCCAGCTAACATCCGAAACCTCTGAACTCTAAACCGTAAGCCCCAAACCCTGAACCTCACAGTCCGTGCCCTCGAAAGCGTTTGCCCGTTGCTCTTGATTTAAAGCCCCATGAGGCCTATGCCGTCGGAGCCTTGCTGATTGCTTACACTATAGCTTAGGGTTCCTTTTTTCTGACTAAACTGCGAGAGAGTAGCAAATCATTAAGGCTCCTACATTACCCGAAGCCATAAACCATACCTCTAAAAGTCCGCTTGAAAACCCCCAATCCGTACTTGGACTTGTGTTCCAAGCCCAAGACCAAGACCCGAAGCCATGGTCCCCAAACCGTAGACGCAAAACCCCCGCCCAAAAAGGGTACCATAAGGGTATAATAAAGGTGCATAAGGATACCAGGATACCATACAGGGTACCAGAAAGGTTGCTGCAAGGACATTTATGCTAGCGGGTTAATAAGTACGGAGTTTCGGCTTGAACATAGAAGTTTGAATGTTTAGTATTTTTCAAGCCCCGAGACTATATGAACCCTAAGCCAGATCCGCCATAAACCGTGCGCCGAAATCCTGAGCCCCTAATCACTAAACCACTAGAACCTTGCAGGATGTTTGGATCCTTGGAAGGTTTCTGAACCCACAAGGGAACCCTTGAAAGGAGTTCGAGGCAAACACCAGGGAAACGCCCAAAAGAAAGCTTCTTTGATCGGGAATGCCCACAATAACCCCAAAAGTACCCCAAATGGAATGCCACAAAGGCACAGTGGCAGGAATCCCTTGCAGTAAGACGAACCGGAGGGCCTTAAACGACTCGAACCCGCAAAGGAACCCTCAACGCTCCAAACCTTAAGCCCTATAGCTTAAACCCTAAACCCTAAGAAAAAAATCTAATATAGGGGCCTTAATAATTACCTATACTATTTTGGGGGTTCCTTATTATAGTATAATATACCCCCAAACCCTATGACTAAGGTCCCTACTAAGATCCATTCTAGCAAACAGTTTAAGGATCCCTTTAATGGAACCCTTTTCTAATTATTAAGGCCCCTAGAGGAAACCCCCCTAAACCCTAAACCCTAAACCCTAAACCCTAAACCCTAAACCCTAAACCCTATTCTAATTATTTGGGCCCCTATATGAAACCCTTGGGGCAGGTGCAGGAGGCCCTGGAGAGGGGCTCGAAGCTGGTCGAGGTGGGAGGCTTTGTGTCGCCAGGGGTTCCTGGAAGGGTTCTACTAAGGGTTCTTAAGGGTTTTAAGGGTTCCTTTAAGGGCTTTAAGGGCTTCTTTAAGGGCTCTAAGGGTTCCTTGTAGGGTTTTCATGGTTTTAAGGGTTCCTTTAAGGGATCTAAGGGTTTCTTTAAGCGCTTTCGGGGTTCCTTTAAGGGCTTTAGAGGTTTCCAGATTTGCTTTAAGGGCTTTAAGGATTGCTTGAAGGGTTCTACTAACGGTTCTTTTAAGGGCTTTAGGGGTTTCAAGGGTTGCTTTAAGGGCTTTGAGGGTTCCTTTAAGGGTTCCACTAAGGGTGCCTTTCAGGGTTCCTTAAAGGGCTTTAAGGGTTCCTTGAAGGGTTTTAAGCATTCCTTTAAGGGCTTTAAGGGTTCCTTAAAGGGCTTTAAGGGTTCCTTTAAGGGCTGTGAGGGTTCCTTTAAGCTCTTCAAGGGTTTCTTTTTTTGGCTTTTTGGTTGCTTTAAGGGCTTTAAGGGTTTCTTTAAGGGCTTTCAGAGTTCCTTTACAGGCTTTAAGGGTTCCTTTACGGGCTTTAAGGGTTTCCTTAAGGGCTTCAAGGGTTTGTTTAAGGGTTTGTTTGAGCACTTTAGACGGGTTCTGTCAGTTTTTGGGGGTCTTAGGGTGTGAGTCCGCGTATTCATGCACACGGTTCTGAGTTTTGGGTGTAGTATAGGGGTCCGAGCACTTGTTAGCGTTACGCCTTCGCATTCGAATGTGTTCATGAGTATATAGGGACATACGGTTGATGATATAAATCCTGCATCACTCATAATAAGGAATATACCATAGTTCCCATAGTTAGGGTCCTTAAGGTAATGCAGGATTATAATCATGAACCCGGCAGCACCCAAAATAAAGAATATACCATAACTCCCATAGTTTAGGGTCCTTATAAGGTAATGCTGGATTTATATCGGCAACAGTAGGTCGTAGTAATATGGGTAGTTCTCTAAATTAGGGTCCCTTTTTAGGTCCCCAATATAGTACGGCACCCTTATAAAAAGGACCCCAAAAGGGACCCTAATTTAGAAAACTACCCATATTCTGTCAACTCTGAGCTTGATACGGTATACACCTGGACGACTCAAGAACTCTGAAACCACCTGAACCGGAAACCCAAAACCCTAAGCCCAAAGACCCTAAACCCTAAACCCTCAGCCCTAGACCCTAAACCCTAAACCCTAAACTCCAAGACCCGGAAGCCTGAACTCAAAACTGCAAGCCCAAACTGCACAACTCCAAACAGAAAGCCAAAGCTACTATAGGAGCCGAAGTAATTACCAATACTATTTTGGGGGCTCCTTATTATGATTATGGTATAATATACCCCCAAAACCCTATTCTAGTTATCAAGGCCCCTATATTACCTTAAACCCTAAGCCCTAAACCCCCGGCCTTGAAAAAGGATCTCTCTGAGTCTCAGGTGGATGCTGGGCCCTAAACCCTAAACCCTAAACCCTAAAGCCTAAGCCCTAAACCCTAAGCCCTAAACCCTAAGCCCTAAACCGTAAGCCCTAAGCCCTAAGCCCTAAGCCCTAAGCCCTAAGCCCTAAGCCCTAAGCCCTAAGCCCTAAGCCCTAAGCCCTAAGCCCTAAGCCCTAAGCCCTTAGCCCTAAACCCTAAGCCCCAAACCCTGAAGCCTAAACCCAGGTGGATGCTGGGCCGACCGGCTGCATGCTTATCAAGCGGGAGGTTTTCTCCAAGCTGATGAAGGCCGCCTTGTTTTGTTTAATGTAGCGGTCTAAATCATTGCCAATACTATTTTTGGGATTCCTTATTTTAGTTATAGTATAATAGGCCCCAAAACCCTATTCTATAATTATGAAGGCGCCTAATATGCTTAATGTAGGGGTCTAAATAATTACCAATACTATTTTGGGGATTCCTTATTATAATTGTAGTTATAGTGTAGTAGGCCCCGAAACCCTATTGTGTAATCATTAAGGCGCCTATATTAGCTCATCTTTACGACAAGGAAAGGGGCTTATGGCCAGTGTTTTTTCCTTGGGATTTTGAACCTGGGCGTGTTAACACTGCATTCCTCTGAAGAGAGTTTTCGGGAATTTCGGGTTCTGCTCTGCGTTTGAAGGGATCTCCAAACAGCCGATTTCTTGCTCGCCTCCGCCTGTTGCAGCAAAGATCAGGCTTGAAGGTATTTTCGGGTTGAGGGTTTCATGTGGCTAAACCCTAAACCCTAAACCTTGACTGAACGCCTTTCTTGTTAGTTTATGGTGCCTTTTTGTTTTGTTTGTTTTCTGGGAGGGTTTAGGGTTTAGGGTTTAGGGGTGGTAAAGATTTCTAGACCGGGGTTATGATTATGAGGGTTCTGCAGGTGTATGTGGGTCTGTAATTAAACGCTCTATACCGGGTTCTACAACTTGTTTCTGCTGAGACCCTTTTCTAGATTCTAGAGTTTTTGTTTTTCGGTTGTATTCCTTCTTGCTTAGCAGGGTCTCCGAGAACAAGCTTTTGCTTGCCTCTTTTACGTAGTAGACTACAGCACTTTGCGCCCGTAATCTAATATTTTTGGCCTTGCCCCCGCCCCCCCCCCCCAACATCCCTGGCACACTAGACCCCAAACCCTAAACCCTCAAACCCTCAACCTAAACCCGAAAACTTAAATTGCAAACCCACTTGGGTTCTCTAGGTTCCAGCTTCGCACTAGACCCTGAAACCGTTTAGCCTAACCCCTAAACCCATAAACCCCAAACCCTAAACCCCTAAACCCCTAAACCCCTAAACCCTAAACCCTTTCAAACCCTAAACCCCTAAACCCCTAAACCCCTAAACCCTAAA